GGAGCCCCACGGCGCCGGTGGCCCGGGTACCCGCGATGTCCCATGGCCCTGTACCCCAGACACCATGCTGGGGGGGAAGGGGGAGGCCGGCTGTGGCAAATGGGCTGCTAAAGCATCCGTCTTACCCAAAAAGAACCAACCAGTGTGAAAACTGGTCCATCGCACGCTTGTGTGTTCCACCCCTGAGGAAACCGGGCGGGAGAGTGGGGACCTGGGCAGCCCCAGTTAGATTGGGTCGTACCGGGTGGGACCGCACCTTGGTATCGGTGGAGTATGGGCACTGCAGAGTTGATGGTATCCTTAGAAACACACCTGGTAGTTTAGTCAAATGCTGCTGTCTACTGCTGTGTTCACTGGCAAGATGGGAGTTACTTCCCTGTGAAGTGAGTGTTGCAGGCAAAGTTTCTTGCAGTGAATTTTCCGGAAGAGTTCTAGAGGGTTTGCACTTGTTCCCCAAGTGAGTTAGCTGAGGAGACACACTCCCTTCTAGCACTGTTCAGGACTATCATGTTACGGGGTGGGCTGTGAGCACGCTGGCTACCCTTTCCGTTGCCATTCAGAGTAGATAGATGGCTGGCTGTGTGCAGCACAGTCATGAGATGCTATAATCTCACCATTTCATTCACTCACCAGACAGGACGATGCAAAGTCTGTTATTTGCAGTTTGCTGATGGTCTTTAGAGTAGAGCAAGCTGTTACTACAAACCTTGGCATAGGGCTGAAAAGTAGTTCTCTTCCAGATTTGTATCTTGGAAGAAAAGAAAACTAACTATAGGAAAGTAGAAGAAGATATTTTTATGTGGACAGCTGCGAGGAGTCCAGTAGGATTCTAATGCAGAGCTTAAGTTTAAAACTTTAATCCTAAATGTAAAACTGTCTTGGCAGTCTCAGTAGTCAGTTTCATGTCATAACTTTTATAAAGAATGAAAACTCTTCACCCTTCTCATTCTGAGCTCACTTCACGGAGAAGTAAAGTCCCTAAATGTTTGCAGACGGTCCAGTTTGAGAGTTGAAGTGTAACTTTTGCTCCCTTCCTCCCAGCATCACTGGCGTCTGATGAGAACCGAGGGGATCTCTGTGCTCTGGCTTTATTCCAGCTGTGGAGCAGTGTGATATCTTTGTAAGAGAGCTCCTCTTGGGTAGTAGTATTGTGAGCTACAAGCCTTATCAGAGAGTTTCTACTGAATAGAGTAGTCAGTAGATGAACTCTGTGGTTCCAGGAGGGAGAAGATCAAAAGATTACAGGGAGGAGCAGAACCTTTTCAGTGTGCATATCTGCTTCTGGTAGATACAGCAGGTAAAATCAGTAACTACTTCAATCTATAAGGTGGAAGCTGCAAGTAAGAAGCACAGGGCAAGATACCTGTAGCTCTGGGGAGGCCTAACAGCATGGCTTGATGCTGTTGTTCCTGAGGTGGGATGCACTGCTGCTGATGTTGGTGAGGTCTGTTCTGATCAGCACAAGGAAGCTGGGGAGAAGTTGCTTGCTGACACACAAAGGTTTTCCTGAATCTGTGCTAGTTCATTCCATGGACTTAATGGCTGTTGATGTAAAACACAATTATTTGCCTCCTGTGTCCAGGGGGAGACCTGAATCTCCTCAGGTCTTTATGTTGCTCCTGGAAATGCAGGAAGCTTGGTGCAAAGATTGGCCCTTGTTCAGGTGCTTGCTCAGGCAGGAGCCTTCTGGGCTGCCAGCAGTGCTTCCCTGTTGAACGTCCCTGTATATGGAACTTAGTCTGATCCAGCTTTGAACAAGCTCCAGGTGGGATGCCAGGTGTGTTTGGATGAGGGTGGGTTTTCTTTGCATTAGTGACAATGGGAGGAGAGTTGTGTTACTGATGCTTGCAGAAAAGTTAATACTGTGATGCTGCCTGTTGTGGGTGGCATGTTTCCTTAAGTTGTTACTTCTAAATAACCTTTCTGTGTGTCCTGTACATTATATGGCAGGGTGGTAGGGAATGAGTGTCTGCTTGGGTTCAGGCATATTTGTGCTTTTTGACTTTTCTCAGCCGCCGTTGTTTCCCCCTTTATGAAGGGGGACAGTGCCGCTGAACTGTGCAGTCACCTTGCCCTGTTTGATTGTGTTTCACTGGTGCTACAGTGGCCTCAATCCTCGTGCCTTTTTAGGAGAGCTTACTTTTAAGGAAAAGCCAAGATGTAATCCAGTTCTGATTTTTGTTTCTGGCAGGCTTTGCTGGTAACCTGTTTCGGTGGATACATCTTGGTGTATGTGTTTTATACGCACAGGCACAATAAAGAATACCCCAGGCTGATGCCCACCACTGCAGCAGTGGCAAGAAGCTGAATCCCTTTAACAGTGCAAACCTGGGAGGTTCCAGACAGAAGTGTAGTGTGATGCCCCAGTACTGCTGCTGTCCCTGGGTTTCCCCTCCCTCTCTGCTTTAAAGAAAGTTACGATTTGCAGGGAATGGCAGCAATGGCCCAGAGGTTTTGCTTGTTTAATATTCTCCTTCCTCCCCAGTCGGAAACTGTAACTCTTCCCATAGCTTCCTTTCGCTTTCTGGAGCTGTTTGCTTACTGTTACTTTCCAATCCCCTCGGTGCTCCTGTCTCTGTGGTGAGCAGGGGTGGGGGCTCTGCTCCACGTGTGATGCTGATGGGTACAAATATGAGCTGATACACCCTGGCTTGGCTGTGTGGCCACACTGGCCTCAAGCACTCCCTGTGAAGTGCATGTGGGCTTGTACCACAGTGGGTCCTCGCAGGGGTTATGGGTGGCTGTTATAAAGTAAGGGGATGGGCAGAGGAAAAAGGTCAGTGCTTATAAAAGGGGCTGTTGGCTAGAAGGACCTTCTTACTTGTTCTCTCTTCGTGATAACATTCTTTATGTTGTCTTTTCATCATCAGGGACTGTAGCAATAGGACAAGGGTTAATGGGTTTAAACTGAAACAGGGGAAGTTCAGGTTAGATCTAAGGAAGAAGTTCTTTACTGTGAGGGTGCTGAGGCACTGGAACAGGCTGCCCAAAGAAGTGGTAAATGCTCCATCCCTGGCAGTGTTCAAGGCCAGGTTGGACAGAGCCTTGGGTGACATGGTTTAGTGTGAGGTGTCCCTGCCCATGTCAGGGAGTTGGAACTAGATGATCTTAAGGTCCTTTCCAACCCAGACCACGCTATGATTTTCTGACTAATGTAGTTGCATACTTTGTCCATTTTCTGGGGTTTTTTTACTGCGGCCTACCATAGTTATAGACACCTATAACCCCAAATCCCCTAAAACCCAGAACAATAACAAAACACAACCACCAAAGAAATTAAAAAAGAAAAAAAAAAAAGCCACACCATAAACTATTTGGAGCAGCAGATTGTGGACCTTTTGGCTGATGTGTTTCCTGGAGACTGGGGGGTGTGTGTTGTGTTCCCACTCTACAACTTTCTTTCCTTCCCATGCAGATTAGCAAGACATCTACAGAAAGAGGCACAGTCTCAGCACAACAACTCAGAATTCACAGAAGATCAAAAGGTGAGTATTTGCTCAGTGAAGGAGCTTAACTCTTAGATGGTGATGGGTATTAGGATGTTTTTCTATCTCACCTTATGAGACCTTCTTTCCTTCCTCAGTATATGCAAACAGAAACAGAGCCCAGCATGGCTCAAACAGTTGCTGTCATTAGATGTGGCAGATGCTCTGCTGTGTACTATTGAATGTCACATGTGCTGGCCAGAACCCTCCAGAACCTGGGTGTTTCTTTTTTTGGGTGACCTTTTGATAACTTGCTTATACAACATTAGCACGATTTATAGTGTGAAGTCTGAACACAAAATGTCTTGAGCTGCAGACATGGAGGGTGTGTGAGGAAGATGTTCACTTAACATGTAACACCTGACGGGGAAGGGTCTTGGCAGAGTAGTCCCTAACAAGTCTCTTGGAATGTTCTTTGTTTATAATCCTTCAAAATAGTGAAATTACTTTACTCCTTCCTCCCTCCCTTCAACTGAAAAAGCTGTTTCTTGTTTCAACATCATATTCATGCAACTCTGTGACAGGATTTAAGTGGAAAATGCTAGCTGAAGTCTCACACACTTCATCATTTTCAGCAAAATAAAATCTGGTCAGATACGAGGCCCTGCTCATTTTTCATGTCTTGTATAAAGGCATGTTTTTCTTGGGAATACCAGTTCAGAGAATCCCTGTATTTCCAGATTCCCAAGTCATAAAATCACTTGTTTGAGCAATGGCATTGCCTGAGAATTGACATTTTCTAGCCCAGAATCTAATCTATGGTAATAGGGTGCTAGAGTAATGGGATCTGTGTTTGGAAATGTTGGTCCTGAAAACAAGCCCTGGCTACAGAAATTGGAGATGAACTTCATCTGTTTGAAGAAACTCATTGCAAAGAAATACACCTTTGTACAGAGTCTGGCAGAGGTTTGTAACTGCCTCCTCGACATGTACCAATGAGAAAAGCAAAGAGCCAGTCTTCCATGTTCTCTTTACTTTCTGCAAAGAAGAAAATAAGGCTTTTGGTCATCTTAAACAGAGTCATAATCTTGGAGAAGGATTTGATCCACCTTTCCTGAACCGAAGGCTTCAGAGCTTTGTTAAAGTTGGACAGCTGTTTGCTCTTTGCTTCTGCTCTTCATCCCTTGCTGGTAGCTTCCTCCACCATTCTCAGCTATAGGTATCTTTACAGCATGTTTCCTCTCTGTGGATGCTTTTGAAAAGATGGTTACTTCATGCAAGTGAAGCTATTAATCTCACTGCTGGAGGCATCATCTCCTGTGAATATGGGAACCAGAACCACACGGGGCTTTGCTTCCAGATGTTCCCTGAATCTTGTGGGAAGGACCTTGGACCAGATTGTGGAAGTGAGTGAGGTCAGCCATGAGGGAAGGCCTGGGGGGCTCAGGAAGCAGAGATAACTGACCTCAGATGTTACATGTGCAACTGCAATCATGTCTTAAGGTGACAGTCTTTTGTAAAGAAAAAATGAGTGGCTGTTTTGAATCCTTGCAGGGCAATGCCTGCTTCTAAAGCTGATACAGAAGAGGCAGACGTTTCTATTTCGTGCTTATTTGCGGATCAGTGAGGGGCTAATGCACTCAGACTTTGTGCCTGGTTATCAAACGGTGGTGCCTATTTCATTAGCAACATACACAGCTGGATTCCCCAACATTTTGTTGAGACAATATTCTCTTCCCCTCTCCTACCATGAGGAATTCTAGTCACCACAAAAATATGTCTTGCTATTGCTTTGGAAGGAGCACTATAAAATTAATTACAGCAAAATCTTTTACCTTGCCACTATGCTCCTTGCTGTTCTGGGTTTCCCTATTTCTGCAGGAGCTCAGCCAGTACGATCTAGTGATCATGACCAATTACTGTTATTGCAAGTATCGTTTACTTGACATGGAGGAGTAAAGTTTAGCACACTTCTGGGTTTTCTATTTGGTATTTGATACACTTCAAATACATCTACATACCAAACCAGCTACCTTTGCTCAGCTAAGTTCCTGCCAACGCATGCTATTCCAGCATGCTATTTTCTCCTGGTTCCTAATACCTTGTCTTTCTGAGGTTCTGTGTGTCATATAAGAACCACCTCTTAATTCTGATCAGCGTAAAAGAGCTTGTCAACTTCAGGGTTTGCTTATCTGGTATTACTGGCCAGGACTGTGCACAGAATTCCGTAGACTGGAGAAGGCAAGGCTGTGAGGCTGAATATGATTTCCAGCTGCTTGATCTATCCTTGTTCCAGTCTTTGTGTAGATTTACAGTTAGCTGTTGTCCATAGGACCACATGTACTGCTGAGAATTACCGTGACACTGTCATTGTTTCTTTTACTCTGTGGAGAAGATGGATTTCAGCAGTGATTCCTCTGTACCAAGGGAAAAGTACCAGCTCTACAGCTGCAGGGGAAGGCCAAGGCAAGGTTCAGATCCTCAGCCCCATCTGTCTGTATAAACTTTTACCATGTTTGGGTTTATTTCATGCATCACAGGTGGTGTTCCAGTGCAGATATGGCCACACCATAATTGATGGTGCATTACTTGCTAATGTAATCAGACTATATGTTAATCTAACAACACTTGAGAGATACCACCAATTTCTTTCCTAGGCATACTGTGAGCCAGTTATCATTTATCTTACAATAAATGTGTTGTTTATGGTAAGAATTCAGACTTTTTAATATTGATACCTTGCCTTTTTGCTCTCAATGTAAGGAGTCTGTTTTGAAACACTGTATGCTGCTTCCCTTGATAGAGCAGTCTCTGGAATTGCTGTTCATTCCTGGATTTTCATTTTCTGAGGAGTTGTTGTCTTATATCTACTGCTGGACATAATTCTGGAGTTCTAGTCCTTAGGGAAGGCTCTGTCTTGACTTGGATAACTGACAGTGCTGGAGTGTTCCTTAGTGATTGTGGATTTTGTTGAAGAATTTCTCTGCAGATAAATACTGTAAAGAGCAAATGATTGTGTTTCAATCTAGTCACCCTTTCAGGAGGCTGTGCAACAGTTTCACTACCTAGAAGCTGCATGTGTAAAATACTGACAGATACAGTTACTGATGGATTTACCCCAGTCTTACCCTCTGCATCCTGCTGCTGTTTATTTTACCTTCCTTCTCTAACAAAATCCCATCTTCATTCATGATCAACCACTGTGTTTTGCTACGTGAATTGTTCCAGTTAGGTTTGGCCATGGTTTTCCGCTTGCCTCCAGCTATAGTTACTCTCACCCAGTTCTCTATGCAGTAAATTTGACCTTTCAAGCCCTCTTCTAACCGCAGTTGTTGCTTCTCGTGTAAATGTTTTTGTGCTCGGCTGCGTTTTCTTCGGGACTAGAAAATCATGCGCTGCTTTATGCAATGGTAACTCACTGAAATAAGAGCACTGTTGAACACTCTGAGCATGATTCATTAAACTACTGGTCTCCTAACAGCCTAGACCTCTCTTTAAAGCCAAACTCTGCTCTGGCTCTGTATTTATGCAAACATCTTTGACTGCATTACAGTTAGCACAGTCATTACTTGCACGACTGCGCTGAAGAAACCTTGACTATGAAATCAACTGACTTTTTTTCCCTTTCTAATCACGAGTTTACATAAAACTGAATCTTTACTATTGTAAACTAGCAACGTGAATTATGACTTCAGTGTTTCTAATGAGATGCAGGATGTTTTCCCTGCTTCAAAAAGGAGCCTTCGCATGGGACAGTTGCAGCTGAAAATGATAGCAGCGTTCAGCTGCAGTTTTAACTTTTGGGCTGGGTGTGGTCCCTTAAAAAAATAGTTATGAATAATGCCTGCTGGGAGCTTGCCATATTCCAATAGATTCCATATAAAACCTATTCTTTACTATTTTAAGACTTCCAAACTCTCTTCAATTAATCTGTTTCTAGAGGCATTATTGCCCTTCAGCCCCCAGGAGCCAGAGGACACACATTTTTGTATTGCTGTTTGTCCTGATAGGAGGTACCTAGTTCAGGCAGTTTTAGGAATACACGGTTATGAATCTGCAGGAGAGGGGTGTTGCAGGGGTGTTGCTGAGCTTATCAGTGTACTGACAAAGGAGATAGGGCTTGAACAGTGCTTCTTGAGACCTCATGTACGGCTGGGGCTTAGTGCTCTGCATGTGAGACCAGGAGGGGAAGAGGCACTTGAAAATCTGTTTCCATGTTCTGATTCCATGCTGGGGCACCCTGGGAACTTGTGGCCCTCTCTGTGGTGCAGTCAGAGGGGAAGTGGGCATGCTTTTTACTCAGCAGTCAACACCCAAACCATCCAAACAGCTGGACTTTTGCAAATGCTAGAGCTCTAGTCAAACCTCAGAGATTTCCCCTCCCTTCCCTAGGGAAGTGCTGGATTCCTTTCTTTTACCCATGACTTCACACCTTCCTCTTTAAGATTCTACCTTTCCTGCAAACATATCTTTCCAGATGTTCTCAAATATAAAAAGGAATTCCTTTTGTTACACTGCAGCTGATTAGACAGACGTAGTGCTTTCTCATCCTACTGACTGAGAATCTGCTTCTCTAGTACTACCTCGTGTCTTCCCATTCAGCTTGAAGGTACATGTAAACCCACAGCACCCACACGTGGGTCTGAAAGTGTCAAAATGAATCCAGGACTATACGTACTCCTTTCTTTTTCAAAAGCCTGTGGGTTTCCAAGCTATGCTGGAGATCCAGCCATGAATCTCTTGTTATGTAGCAGGGTGTAGTTGGACCAGTAGAAGTACAGTGACTGAACCTAGGCTACAAAATGAACCTCCACAGAAACGGGGCTGTAGTATTTTTACTCTGCCATGTTGCATTCAAGCATACAGTAATGGTGCTCTGTATTAAAATTCCCAAACAGCACACTGCTGCTTCACATGCTGCATCCCAGGCAGAGGAGAAAACAGTATGTGTCCTGTGCTGGTAAACAGCACTCCCTGCTTTCCTGAAAGGTGCTCGAAAGAACTAGATTTCTCTAAGACCTCCATGCAATCAACAGTATATAAACTGTGAGGATGTAAAGTCATGTTGCAACAGAGTGTTTAAGACAAGGGGGGATACCAGCTGGGGAGAAGTGGCTTTGAAAGCTGTGAGGAGCCTGCAGTGGCAGATGAAAATCAGGTGTCTGGGGCTTTTACACACTTCAGTTGTTGGCTTTGCCCTTGAGGTGTTGGTGTCTGATCTGCTTATGATTCAGCTCCTGAACTCTTTCAACTTTCAGCGTGGCATAAGGTGAAGCGCAACTGGAGGCACTTAGCTTTTAGCACAGCCTCTTGGAACGAGGGGTGGCTGACTGAGAAGGGGGTTGTGACATCCCTGCAAGGAGAGTCAGGGCAGACGGCTGGGAAGGCATGTCTCATTTTTATGTGCTGCTACAAACCTCTTGGAGCCCTAAAATGTAACCCTCCTTTAAAGGGAAGGTTTGGCTTTTGGCTGAGATCTCACAGCTTGCCAGATGCCCACACTCTTGAATTCCTCCTGATGCTAGAGTTGTGCTCTAGGAAATCTTCTCTCCCCTTTGCATCCAGCTTGGGGGGTAGCTGGTTTTATACTAGCTGATTTAAAAGGAGAGAACGAGTTACATGTGTGTGTTTCAACTTTAATCTTCCTTCTGGGGGGAAAGCTGATTTTGAAAATAAGCTACTTCTTTGTAGCTGCATTGTTGCTGTTTTTCTTGCCCTATAAATGTTCCACAGAGTATTTTGAATTATATTTGGCCCTTATCTCTGCAGATAGACTTTAGTTTTTCTTCACTAAAACCTTTTAGTTGATGAACAGACAAGTGATGGTCAGGCAAGGTAAAATTTACCTTGCAATTGTGCCTTCTTGATGTCCATTATGGAAGTCTTAACTCCTCCTTTCAGCTGGTAGTAACAGCAACAAATGTGACTGTTGATGGAGCTTCTTATTTTGGGAGAAATAAAAGCTGAAGTAGCACTGTCTTCAAAGTAAAGCTGCTAGCAACGGGCTATTTTGAAGCTCTTCCTTTTACATCTTTAAATGAATATGAGGAATGACTTCCCAGTTCTACTCAGAGATATTTTCGGTAGCTGACAAGTTTGGATCAATAGATCTCGCGCTTCACCCAGCTGAGATCTCTTTAAAGCTGCAAAAAGAGAAAGTTGGGAATATAATCTGCCTTTATATTTCCTCTCCCACCAAAACCCACAAGAGTGGCCTGTGTTCAGTGATGAGATACTGCCTTCTGTAACTCCTGAGGAGGGGTGACTTGGTCTGCTGTGGGCCCGACAGAGGAACTGCAGGCATAGCTCCTGTAAGGGCAGATGAGAACACACCACTCGGGTTCTCAGAAGGAAATACATTGGTTAGTTTGGATGTTTGTGGGTTTTCTCTCCCCTGTCACTGAGTATAAACAGTTTGTGCTGTGGGTGGCGTCCTTACAGATTCTGCTGAGTGGATGACCCCTGTCTGTGGTGATGAGCTGTGGAAGGGAGTTAAACGGTGCATGTATGTTTCATCTCTTGTGCTTTTCTTTTTGCTTGTATATAAAAAAGCTTTTGCTACTGAATAATAGACCCGAAATGGTTGCAAGAAAAAGCAATTGTTTGTATTTGTATTTGTTTATAAGATGTGAATATGGAAGAATACAGTTTCTGTACCAAATTAGTAATATATTTTGTTTTTCCTTTCAGAAAACCATAGCTAAAATTGCAACATGCTTGGAACTGAGAAGTGCAGCTTTACAGGTATAGCTCTTTTTTCCTACGTGACTTCATACTTCAGTGACAGGTAACTGTAGAGCTGTTTAAAGCTAGTTTAGGCTCTTCAGACGCAGCTAAAACTTCTGAAAACAGAGTGAGCAAAACCTGGAGCACTTGGACTTTCAGGTTGTCAACGTGATGCCCCAGGTGGCTGCCTTAAAAACTTTTGAAGTGCTCATATGAACATGTATTGGGGTTTGTACAGGAATTTAACCACAGGTTTTGTGCCTTTGGTTCTTTGCCTTTGCCTTCAGAATGGATCAGTTTGTCTTCCTAACCTGTGTGCAACGGTAAAAAGATCCCCAGAGTGACCCTTGCACTAATTCTGCCTAATTCGGAGTGACTCTTGCACTAAAACTCAAATCAAAATAGAGTATGAGGAAGCATGTGGGTGTAGAATAAAAACTACTCTTGTAGCAGTCATGAAAACAGACAGGTCTGTAGGCAGATGTGTGAAAATAGTGATTTAAAGGCTATTTTTTGGTGTTCTTTTTCTGGACTGAAAGTAGACGTCATGGAAGTGAATTTCTTTATCTCTCAGCACAATCATATCCCTCGAACAAAAGGGAAGTGAGGCAAATTTCCAGAAGAGTGTGGATGGGGAGAGATGAATCAGCTGAAGCTATGTTTGGTTTGCTGGATTACCTCTTTACCAGCAAAGAGTGGTGGCAGGCAAATTTTATATGGGGTTACTCACAGCAGTGCTCCCGAGTTCCTCACCTTGCTCTACGAGGTGCAGCAGCTCCGTTATGCTGCTGTCAGTTGCCTGAGAGGCTGGGATACAGTGATGATTTAGGCAGGATGCGGGAGCTGGACTGCTGAGGTGGGGGCTGAGCAGTGTTGAGGCTGTGCAGGGTTTGAAGGATTATTTGGGTAGCTCTACCTGTCTCTATTTTGATCTAAGCTGGAGCGTTTGAGCAGCATCGCACTTGTTCTGAGTCACTGTGACAAGGGCAGGCGTGTTCCGTTGTGGGACAGCTTCGTGGGGCAGGTCTTGGAGCAACAGCAGGAGATGCAGCAGTGTCATAAGCTGCCCAAGTGAAGAGATGATGTGTTGCAAGGCCAGCCTTCCTTGTTGTTGGTTCCTCAGCTGTAACTGCAGGGTTTAGTACCCTCACACAAGGTTATAAGAACTTCTCATCCACTTCACTTTGGCAAGTATTTTACTTGTTAGAGATTAAAGCAGTTGAGCGTGATCATCTTTTCCCATTCTAACAGTATGGGTACAGCTGCTTTACTGTCCTTCTGGAGTCTTGCAGTAGATCCCCAGTGGCACTTGGGCAAAATCAAGAAAGAAATACCCACTGGGCCTTAAAGAAATATTGGCAACAATGGGTAATCTTAAGAGATGCCAAGGGTGCAATGGCACAATAGATAAGACCTGACCCTCTGCCTAAAAGAGGATGTGCAGTGTCAATCCGCTAACTTGCAGCACTTCTCTTATGTCATCTCTGCCACTTCTTTTCTTGGAATAGGCTACCCCAGCTTTCCAAACTGTCAGTGAACTACCTCAGAATGAAAGATTACAGACTTTTCCGTGGAGTTAGTCAATCAGGCTTACTGAGAGGCAGACATATGCTATGGACAATAAGGAAACTGCATGCTCAGAGTTGGAGAAAGGAGAGATGGGAAGCCCTCTTCCATTTGCAGTGAGCTCTTAGCTGGGTGTTGTGTCAAGCTTATCCTATATAGTGTACTTTCCACCAGTGTTACAGTGTTGGACATGTCTTGAACTGTGAATGCTCCTGCTGGAGCATTGCTTTGTGGTGCAGTCTTAGAGCTGATCTTGCTTCAGAACAACTTGACTGGGGAAGAATGAAAACAGATCACTCTATCTTAATGTTCCTGTGTGTAGTAAGTATGAAAGAGCAACAAGCTCTTGCGTTAGAGCTTGAAACATGGGATAGGTTTGTTCTCACTAAATGAGAAGTAAGATACTTTCTGTCTCACTTCTGAACCTAGCCTTGTGTTGGGGAGATGTTTGGGACTCTTCAGGACATAGCTTTGAAGTAACTTGGTACACCTGAACAGAAGCACTTAGCATGCTTATTCTAACATATGGTAGCTCTGTCTGAGGGGAAAGTGTGCACTAAGATCTAACTCTTCCTTTGTGATGTCCTAGTCCACCCAATCACAGGATGAATTCAAGCTGGAGGATCTGAAGAAGTTGGAACCAAGTAAGTAGTATCTTTGTATTTTAAGTGAAGGACATTTATCATTACAGCGGAAAATACAACAGCAGCATGAATATGACTGACCACATTGTGGTTTGACAGTAATGCTGGTTTAGGTGGTTCTTCCAAATATCTGTTACTACATAGACAAAACCTGATGTATATTAAAGAATGTAATGAGGATAACTTCCAAGTATAGTAGTCCTAATGTTTCAGATGATATATTCAGCTTTATTCTCAAATCAGTAATTCTTTGGGTGCTGCTGAGTTTTGCACACAGTAGTAATTTCAGCTGTGAGTAGTACAGTACATGATCAGCTGGAAAATTGACCTGCACGTTTCTTATTTGAACTGACTTACAAGACTTTGTGGTCTTCCTCCTTGCAGCATGAAACTTTTCATCTGAAAAGATTTAACTTGTGCTTGTGGCAGCCAGTCACCTGTCACCTACCACTGCAATGCCACCAGACTAGCCAAGTTAAGAGGATGTGAGTCAGTCTTTGAAGGGGTTTGTGTGATGTTGTTTTTTCCCAGTTGATCCTGGGTCAGTTCTTGCTATGTCAATCCAGAAAAAACTTCTTTGTGTAGGAAGTATCTATTTATCTGCTACATTTTCCTTTCCATAACACTGGCCGCTTTGTTCTCAAAACATTCTTATGATCAGAACTTCCACATCTAAGTAGTACTATCCTGAATGCTAAAGTTTCCGCAATTTTGGGGGACCAGGACATGTGGAAGAGCTGCTTTCATGCTGGCAAAGGTGGGTTTATTTTGCTCCTATCAGAATTGTATCATTAAGGGGGAAGAAGGCCATGAGGATGATGAGGAGGTTCAAGCATGTCCTGTATGAAGACAGGCTGAGAAAGTTGGGGCTGTTCAGCCTGGAGAAGAGAAGCTGCGTGGAGACCTCAGAGCAGCTTCCAGTGTCTGAAGCGCGCCTGTAAGGATGCTGGAGAGGGACTCTTCATCAGGGACTGCAGCGACAGGACAAGGGGTGATGGGTTCAAACCAAAACAGGGGAATTTCAGGTTAGATCTAAGGAAGAAGCTCTTTACTGTGAGGGTGCTGAGGTGCTGGAACAGGCTGCCCAAAGAAGTGGTAAATGCCCCATCCCTGGCAGTGTTCAAGGCCAGGTTGGACAGAGCCTTGGGCGACATGATCTAGTGTGAGGTGTCCCTGCCCATGGCAGGGGGGGGGGAACTGGATGATCTTAAGGTCCTTTCCCACCCAAACCATTCTGTGATTCTATGTTGGTAATAAATGTGGTGGGCAGGCAAGTGTTTCCACTTCATGGATGAGCTGAGCTTGTCTGCACTTCCATTCTCTAAGTAGCTGGCACAGGATCTCACAGGATCAAGAAGCAGGGCATTGAACTGAACTTCCTAATGTCTCTTGCCAAAACAGAGTCTAAATACTTTCAAACTATTCCCTGAAAATGGAAAGGTATGTTACAAGATGTCTGTGTCAGTGAAGGCTGTAACTCAGGAAAGGGTTCAACAGTGTGTTGGAAATGTTAAGTCTTTCTCAATCTACATATTGCATGTCTGGCCTCTGCACCCTCTGGTTTGGCATTATTTTGTATAGATACTCCTGCTGTCTGTTTACGAAGTATTTAAGATGATATCATTATTTGCTGACTGTGGATTTCAGACTCCATTGTGCACATGTCCTGTGAGTGACTGAATGATGGAAGGGGGAGAAGGAATCATGTTTGAAACCGTTCTACAAATCAGAAGTGGCTATCAAAGGCTTCAGTCAGAATTTACATTCTGCCAACAGCCATAAAGCTTTCCTTGAAATGCCTCCTTTTCTTAAAAGCCAGAATGTCTGTTAAAGAGCAGCAGTCCTGTTGCTTGTCTTGCCCTCCATCAGAGAACTGATTTTTAGCTGTCACAAAACCTGTTGAACAGTGTGAAGTGCATCCAGCCCATGCCTCATGCAACAGGAAACTATATTAAAACTGAGGGAGAGTGTGTGGCCATCGGTTTTCAAAGACACTGAGTTATTTTCCTTGGAGGAGAATGGATGCTTCCACAACAACAATTGAACATTGATGATCTTAATGCTGCTGTCTGACTGGGATTGTTCCGGCTCTTTCTCTCTGAATCATGCCTTTGTTTTGTGGGGTTTAAGTATATCTTGAATAGAGTAAATCTAAATCAGGCCAACAGCAACCATTTCATAAAATACACTGGGAAGTGTTTTCATTTGTGTGTTGTCAATTTGCTCTTGTGTTCCACTAGAAAAAGCTTAAAAGTAAATCTGGGCTGGCAATGCAAAGAAGTGATTCCTTTGTTAGGGCAAACCATTCTGTTAGGGTGGAACGAAAACAGCTATTCACCCCATTTGGCTTGTTTTAATTACTTTTGTGCCTGAAGCTATCAAAATGGCTGAGAAATTTGTTTTGGGTGGTGGTGTAACAACCACAGCCCTTAGTTTTAACTTTCTTTGTATATCTTGCATTGTCAAGTTCTAACATTTCCTATTAAATTGCATTTCACGCTGCTTGTAACGTAAAGCAGTTGGCTAGTTCTGTTTGTTTATAGGATTTGTCACCGACTCTTTTGTGCTAGAACAGAATATAGGAGGGTCTATACGTGCAAACAGTTCTCTTTGAGACTACACTGTGTGAAATCATGGCAAACACTGGATCTCACAAGTCCTGTTGTGAAAGCTTGTCCTGGGGTAGTTACACACATTACAGATGGGTAGGCTGGGACATCCCATGGGCCTGTGTTTGCGTGGATAATTCTAGGCACTAAGTTACTAGTTTCAAACTTGGTGTACATGTGTTACAAGAGAAGCAGGTACTGGGTTGTATTGGGGAGCCTGGTGTGTGACTTATTTTGTGTTGCCTATTTAAAAAAGCATAAATCAGTACAAGTATCATAGGCTTGTATCATATATCATCACTAAAAATGTAAGTCGACAGTGGTCTTTATCGAGTTAGCATGTACTGGTGTTGATAATTTCAGTTTCAATCTTTCAAGAGAGAGAGCCAGCTGCTGATCCTATCAATGTGGTGTTGCCCAGCACCACTGAAGAACAGGCAGCTTCAGCATGAGAGCCTGCAGAACAGTATTTGAAATAGATCCCTGTTGAAAAAGCAACGTAACTGGAGGCCACGATGCTGGGATCTGCCCATTAGTTACACACGTGGAGAACTCTGGGAATCATATTCTCAGCAGCACGGAGGGGAAGTGATTTTTCTCCCAGAGGTGATGTGTGGTTTTAAAGCAAAAAAGCCCAAACCAACCTCTTAACGCTTGGGTGTCTTACGCAGCGTTGCAAGGGAGATTCCTGTTTGTTGTAACCTAATGGGGTTTTTCTGTGATCTGGTTATTTTTATTTAAACCAACTGAAACTCTCCCCTGTGATGGATGCAAAGAGGATTTTCCTTTTCCTCAAAGGAAGATTGTTGTGTTGCTGTTTTATTGCTTTGCTTTTCCTTAGTGACTTTGAACAAGCATTTCAGCAGGCTGAGTGCTGTAGATCCACTTTGTACCCTGCTGATGTTTAAAGCAGCACTTTAGTAAATCGCCCTATTACAGCTTGGCAGAATGATTTGCTATTGGTGATGACACAGAGTCAAAGGCCCTTCAATAACGTGATCCACAGCTTTCTGCGGCAAAAGGCAGAGGATTCTGGATGGTGTTTCCAAGCGCCTCCCCATTACCATCCTGAGGGATGCCGGAAAGCAACGGCTTCCGTGGGCAGGGCGGGTACCAAGGGCCGTGTGCGGGGCTGCGGCTCTGTGGCGGGAGGGTGGATGCTCCGCAATGCCTCCGGGCGGCAGCAGGAGTTTAGGTGCTCTAAAAACTGTTTTCCTTTTTCCTGCGCTCCCATCAGTGGAGTATTTTGTGCCCTCTAGTGATGGCTGAAATGTATTACTAGAAGGTTTTACTCGCGGGGGATGTTCATTCACGTAGTGAGAGGAACTGGTTGCTGGGAAAAGAGAAACAGTGTTTGCCGTCCTTTGGAAGATGGGAGGAGAACTGCTTTGATTTCTATTGCTTCTGTATAACGTGCCTATGATCTGGAAGAGATCTCGCTTTACTGAGATTGCTCTGCCTGGACAGTTTCGCTTTCTGTCTCTGGTCTGATGTAGCTCTCCACGATCTGGGGAATTCTGAGGAATAAAAATCCCCTTCTTTCCCTGGAAGGTGACTGGCTGCTATTAATCGGCTGCTTTTCTGTTGGGAAGTAGCTGTGATTCTTGGCCACCATGTTGAGATCTGCAATATCAATCCCTCAGAGCAGAAGTCTTTAGAGAGGGAGACTTGGAATCGGTTTTGTCTGTCACCTCTCTGACTGAAGGGAACTTACTGCTTTCTATGTGTTCAGGTGTTGTGTCCAGCTGGAAGCACTACCTGAGCACTAACCTCTCAGGTAGTGGTACAGGAATTGGAAATAAAATCAGAATGAGCAAAGGCTGGAAAGACTTTCTGGATTCTTTATAGTTTCCTGGAGGGATTATCTATCCATTGTAGCATGCACATGTTGTCTGATAAATTAAGGATGAAGCCCATCCTGAGTGATGTGCATATGAAGACAGGCAGAGAAGCTCTCCTACACTGCCTGAACTGCAGCGTGCAGAGGCAGAGGGGCAGTGGCTCCCTCAATGTAATTGGTACTTAAGTACCTCTGGGTATTTGTGTAATCTTAACGTTGTTTGTTCTCATTCAGTAGTCCTAAGAGAGATTTCCTGTGTTCTGAGGGCTCATTGCAAAGTGAGGCTCAGTGAGAGGACTGTTTTTCTACTTGCCCCTGCCCAGTGTGGAATACTCCTGCTCTGGCAGGAGAGTGCCTCTCCCTGCAGGCATTTCCTTCTAAATGTGTAGGCCCATGTGCTTTTGTGAAATGCTGATTTCTCTGACATGCTTTTAGAAGTTTTGCCTTTACTCATCTCTTGGAAATAACAGCTAGAGTTGCTATTACTAAAACTGAGTAAGTTTCCAATACAAATGGTAAAGTCATGCTCCACTGGGTGCTGGAGACTATAGTGGGTGTCTCTGGGGCTTGATGCTCAGATGTTGCACTGTGTCTCTTCTGACTTTCGCCAATCTGCCCAATCTGAGGCAGACCAGAAAGCAAAAACAGACCAAAACCCCCACTAACATACCCCTTTCTAAGCCCAATGCATGACAGAGTAGGAAATCTCAACTAAGCAATGTGTTACCAGCATGCTTGGACTCCACGGTGGCTGTCTGAATATGCAGCCTATGCGTGTGCTTAAGTGTGTCAGTTCCACAGACTTCAGTTTGTTGGAGCTGATGCCCAGAACAGCACCACCCTCCTTTCAGCAGCCACCAAAGATTGCTGCCATTACATTAGAGTTTTTCTCATAATGCTTTTGTTCATCTTGTCTAAGACACGTGGTGGTGATTATCTGCTGGGGTTGCAGTTAGCCTGTCTATTACTGAAGTATAGCTACGACCATTGCTGTAGTGCCAACAGTTACCTCTGTGCAGCTCATTAGAGCTCTATGTATATAGTGGACACGAAGTGTATGTGCTTAAGAAAGGCTCAAAGTTGATGGTAGATCAGTGTTTAAAATGAGAGGTGGTGTTTTTCTGTATGATCTGATTGTGTTTTTCAGTGCTAATATTATTTGTGTGAAGATGCTGTGAAAATGGACAGAGCTGTGCAGAGCAGGAGAATTAATGCTTGTTTATGGGTATGGATTCTAATTTTTTTTTCCCCTGTCTGCAGTCTTAAAGAATATCCTCACTTACAATAAGGAGTTCCCCTTTGATGTTCAGCCTGTCCCACTCAGGTAAGAGGGAACTGGGGCACTTCATGTACAGCTATGTATCTGCATGGGAGCATAGCTTGGAGTACCCCTGAAACACCACAATTCCCAGAGCCGCCTACTTGCTGCACTGCTTTGGGTTGTCTGGTTAATAACAGAACTCCTGAATTCTGTCTGTCTGGGTACCACCAAAAATCACACCCCTGCTTTTGGCAAAACCAGGATGTGGCACATCCCTACATCTCTATTATCTCTTGGGTTTAGACTCTGTGCTTTCTATTGGGCTGAGCTCCTGCAATCTCTGAGGCTGTGGGCACAGGTAGTGGTTAATAAGTATGAAATGACATTAAAGCATGTTGCCCCTGCTCTATACTCAGATGCTGAGCTGTGAGTTGAAAGCCAGATGATGAATGATCTTTGGTCTCATCCTTCTTTCTCGTGTTTTACAGGAAGATTTTAGCACCTGGAGAAGAGGAACACTTGGAGTTTGAGGAGGATGATGAGGAAGGAGGAGCTGGAGCAGGGTCTCCAGACTCTTTTCCTGCTAGAGTTCCAGGTAAGGGCACTAGCCTTGCCATGCCAGCCTATGTAGCATGTGTAAGTTGTGTCTCTGAGCAGCCCATTTCTCCACCTGTGATTTGCAGAGTTTGGGTGAGGAGCAGCAGGCTCATGTAAACTCCAGTGCTGTATTAGAGAACCACAAAGGTGGCCAGTGGATTGTTTTTAACTCAGCAAACAATATCTTACTGCAGAGCAGTGATATGGATAACCTGTGAGGGTGGTACCATTTACCTCGAATAATTAGCTGTAATTCCTGTTCAAACTCACCATTCTAATTCTATGCACTTTCTTAACTGTGGCATGTTAAGCATTTCAAATGCATTCAAATGTAAATTGTGGCACTGTTTCTCCTGCAAGGAGCATCACATCCTGCTAGAGATGTGGTAAGGTGTTGCTGGTTATTTTTGTGTGGCATCCTCTGGTGAGATGATAGCTTAGACTAAAGCCAAGCTCTGAGAAGATCAAGAGCTTTGGTTTTGGTAGCATAAGCCCTTGTGAGTGTGAAAGCACTCATGGAACTGGGTATACCTACAGATCCTAAAGAAGGTCTTCCTGTAACTTCAGCTTTTGACAGCTTACCAAATAAAGGAGTAGGATGTTTCAGCAGAGGTTCTTTTGGTTCCTGGTGTAGTTTCTTTGCAGAGAAGCAAGTTTCTAGTTTCGGAGCAGGTTAGCAAACTTCGTATTTCAGGAAGGAGACAAGTAGGGAAACTGGTACTGGAATTATGGTTGAAAAAGCTGGATTGGAAGAGTATTGCATTAATTATGCCTGGAGAAAGCATGTTTTTGTCCTTGGATCTGAGCCAAAGCATGCTATGGAATAAGATCCCTGCAGGCTGTACTGATGTAGGGGATGCACAGCTACAGTTGTTCATGCTAAGCTCACAAGTAGGCTGTAATACACTGTGATATTTTATTGCTGACATTTACTATCTTGATCCTTGTTATTAACCATGATAAATCCATTTATGAAAATGCATTCTGTGTGTCCAGAGAACAGCAGAGAGACCTTGAGTAGCTCTTGGTGTGGTGGTGAATCAACAAGGCTGTGACCATTACCACAGTGCCAACAGTTACCTCTGTGCCACTCATTAGAGCTGTGCATATATAGTGGAGACAGAGTGTATGTGCTTAAGAAGGACTCTAAGTTGATGATAGATCAAGTTTACAGTTAAATCATTTTCAAAATGGTAGCCAAATCAGAAAGAGGAGAAGTCTGGGGCATTTACTTTCATACAGAATCATTCCCCAGTAAGACCATGCTTGTAAGAGAAGGTGAGAGCAACTCAAGAACTTACTGATGTTTTACATTGTCATCTACTGAATAAACTGCAAGTCTAACCTTTCTGTTGGTTTTTTGGCATTAGGGTAAATTTCTCCATGGCTACAATAATGTAAACTGCTAAGGAGGTTTTATACTACTCGAGCACAGATCTCATTTCCCCACCAAGTGTAAATTAATGTGGTATTTCTTACCTGACTGGAGCTTGGTCTGTTGCTATTTCTCGGGGTGATAAAGGTTAAACAAAAGCAGTTTGCAGCTTTCTAGGGTGAGCTTTATAAATAAAGTGGACTTTCTATATTGAATTGATAAGACTGTGTTGCACTCTGCTTCTATATGCCTTTAATCCATAGTGCACAACTGTATTGTCTAACCGATCATGGTCTTGTCTTCTACATGCATGGCTTCATCGCTATCACATTGCACCATTCATCTAACCCAGGAGCCAATGAAGGTATGATAACCTTTTAGTATATACAGTTATGTCTTTGATCATATTTATGGAGCTGTGCTGTTCTTCATTCAGCTTTTAGTTTCAATCCTCAAAATACAATCTTTAGTAACAATCACAGTAGTACATCTGTAGTATTGGCATCTAGGCGTTGATCTGCATTTGCCATCTGTACCAGAAAAAGAGATGGTTGTGTTTGTTGACCCAGCTTACATAGCTCTCTACAAGTCCTACTGTGCTCATAAAGACAGTCTGATTTGCAGTGTAGCCAAAGGTAGGTGTAGCTAGGTTTTCTTTAGTGGAGCACACATTTTATGGGGAGTCTTACACAAAGAGTACTTAGGTAGTTAGACTTCTGAGCTGTGCAGACCTGAACTGACCAATGGCTTGTTGCCTCTAACAGCAAAGGTTTCCTGCCTTTCTACTGGTTATATACTACTTTATTCCAGTGCTGTGCTGGCAATGGATCCTTCTGTGAACCATTTCCATTTGTGAACCCAGCAGGAGACTTGTCACGTTTTCCCCTTTCTCTGAATTGGGCTTTGGGAACGGAGAGACTGAACTCAGCCTGTCTTGGTGGCAGTGTGCTGTTGGGTTGGCTCACCTTTGTGTGTCCGAAGCGCACTGGTAGGAGGACACTCACTTCACTTGTAGATGCTCCCTGGCAGTGATGCCCTGTGGTTGTGTCTGAGGTGGCTGGCAGTTTGCTCATGAAAGACTCAGTGTGAGTTACCATCAGCCAGTTGCTCCACTGTGGAATGACTACAGATGCTTCAGCAGAAGACCTGCTTGGGTGGTTGTGGCTCGCATGAGACAGGTTACAGTCCTCAGTCTGTTGTTGGTTTGGCTGCTCCTCCTGCTGAGGCAGAAAGGAAACTGTTCCTTGGAGACCATCTGTCCTTCTGTTCCCTTACCAGCTGGAAGTGAGCTGGACTTTTCTGTTCTTAGCAACTCTGCAATGTCACATGTTCTGGAAAGCATTTTTCAAGAACAGAGTAACTTCAGCCACTGTTTCTATAATAAATGCCAGTCTGCTGCATCTTCCAAGTGATTTATCTGTCAAGCATCCCATCACTTAGTCCTTTGACGTGATGGATAGGAAAACTGAAGGGTACAGTTGTTGTTGGCTCTTGGGGGCATGCTGCTTTTAGGAGACAACTGAAACATGGCAGTTTTGTGCCTACAAGGACGGGTTTGCTTCTACCTTCATTTAGATTGAAATAAGAGCTCTGCCTTTGAACATCTGGTCAAGAGAGACAGTGGATGCTGCTTTGCAGAAATAAGTGCTCTCTACTAAGTTTGCCTTCTACCATTTCTCATCCTATAGTCAGAAGTCTGTCCCGTTACTTCAGAATGGTGGGTCAAATTCTGCCATGGTATGTTGTGACGTGTCTGTAGATACGGTACCTTGGAGGTCATGAGCCTGCTAGCAGCCAAGATGGGGAACACGGACATGTACTGCATCATAGATGTGAACTCAAGTTTTGCTGGTGATCCTGAAAGAGGGACTGGGTGTGGGAATGCTCACGGAATTTTGCGGAAGCTGTGGCTCTGTTTTCAAGTGCAGAATACATTGTCCCCTCTTGCAAAGCCAGTCTCTCTAACAGGACAGAAACTCCTCGCTGCTTCAGCTCCTCAAGCAGATCAAGAGGGGAAAAGAAGTATCAAGGAAAATCTATATTGGACGTGTCAAAGGAACCTGTTACCTCGATTCTCAAGCCTTGGGATAACATTAATTTTGTAATTATAAAACCAAAGCTTTAAATTAAACTCATTTTTGAGTCTAAGCATTTTCTGACCTGGTGCTTATTCATCTAATACTGGAGAGAGGCCTGAAGCCTGCCAGGTGTCATTAAAAGCAGCGTGAGGAAACCCACTCTGTTGTTGATGACCCTCTTACGGCTTTTAATGGACAGTTTGACTTTCTTGCCAGCTCCACTATCATCCTCAGCACTGTGAGGATGACTTATGCTGACCACAGCGTTGATACTAAATGTTCTTGATGCAGAGCTGGGAACTCCCTCCTTAAGGCAGAAGGGAACTTTATTCTTTGTATTTCCTTTAAGTAGAGGGCAGGAGAACTTGGGTAATTAAGAATTTCTCTTCTGGTTCCCTTATGTCCAATGGGATTTGCAGCAATGCCATTTTCCTCCTTATTCTCGAGTCATGTTCAGTGGGGTGGGACTCCTGATTAAGTGTCTGAACTTCCTGCAACTGTAGATTGAATCCAGCTTCCCCAGTTTAATCCTTGAAATGACATAAAGCGAGTTCCATGAATGAGTTATTCTGCAGGAGAGCAAGAAAGAACACTTGGAACAAAGCTACTCTCTGTTCTTAAGGCATTAGGTTGTTATGAATTCATTTGACTCGTGGCAGTCCTGTTTTGTTGGTTTTGGTGTGGGCTTTGAAACCTGTCAAAAGCTGTACAGGCTTTCCTGTAGTGCTGTGTACTATTGGGATATGAATCCTTGGGCTTTGAACCTGGAGAACAGCATCTTCCGTGAGAGCTGGTGGGATAAGCAAAGCCTCTGCTGTAAGATGACATGAAGCATTAATAAGTTTGATTAATAATTAATAATAATACTTTGCTCTTTGCAGGTACTTTATTACCCAGATTGCCATCTGAACCCGGGATGACATTACTTACCATCAACATAGAGAAAATTGGTCTGAAAGATGCTGGGCAGTGCATTGATCCTTACATCACAGTCAGTGTGAAGGGTAATGATTTCTGTTCCTGGCTCCTCATTTCTAGTTTGGAGGGAGTGTGTTTTCTGAAAGCTGTATTGATTTTTCAACCTGCTGGAAGAAATACTCCCTGGTACTTGCATTTTGTTTTGGACTTAAGGCTTCTGCTTTAATCAAGAGTGGAAACATTTTGTATTTGAGAGATCCTGGGAGGTGAATCCCTGCAGGAAACACACTAAGCTGTGCACTCTGGGGTGCACTCCCTGTGCAGGGAGCTGAGCATCAGTGACAGAAGCACTGTGCTTCTCTATTCCAGCTTCTTCAGCTGACTCTTAAGCACAGACCTGCTTGGACTGCCCAGCCAAACACTGGTATCTGGGCTTTCTGGAGATGATGAACCGCAGTCCCGCTGACTCCATTCTTGCCCTGGCATTAAACTAATTTCTGTAAAACAAAGATCATCTTAGCAAGGCTTAAGGTTCAGAGGAATGGGTATGGAGCTGGGAAGCAAAGTTTGCAAGTGAAATGAAATATAACATTTGGTTTAGGCTTGACAGTGAAATACTTCAGCCAAAGCCTTATGGGCTTTCCCAGCTCTGAGAGCCCCCTGGACTGACAGGACTGACTCTGTCAGTCCATGATAGACAACATTAGGATTTCTCCCTGTTTCAGATGACAGCTTTTGCTTGAGGATGATATTGTTGGTATTCGGACTCTTTCTAGTGAGAGCATCTGCCTCTTCCTCTTAGCAGGAAGCCCCTATAGTCAGAACTGCTTACCATAGCCTGCCCTGCTTGACTTCTGCTTATCTGTACAGGCTTCTAAAGTATATGATTTTTTTCTGCTTACCTGTAGCTGAGCCAACAGCCTCTTGCTATTTTCAGCTGTGATAGTGACCTTGTACGTGTCCTCTTTCAGTGTGCTACTGGATACCAAACATCAGGATAAAACACTTGTTAGATGTGTGATCAAGTGCTTCCTCCAGCAGACAAGTTCTTTGGCAGAAGCAAGGGTCACAGTATTGAATGTCACTTGAATCCCAGCGATGTTCTCAAGTGTTACCTACCCAAATACACAGATAGGAAAGCTTTAATCCTGTTCCTCTGGGTTTTTTTCAATGGTGAAACCTTCCACTTCTCCCTGGACCTTTGAGGAGTTCACTTGGTTGTGGTCAAAAAGCTGGAGCATGACTCCTACCTCTCCCGCAGCAGATACAACTGCCGTTCTGTGTTTTCTGTCTTGGAAACATGCAGTATTTCTTTGGTTATGCTGTGCTGCCTTAGGTTTGCTGCACTACTTTTAGATTGGGTAACTATTCTTTGGGCTCCATTTCTCTAGTCACTTGTGGATCTTGCTTTGCCTCTCGTATGCCAGAGAGCTGAGGGATGGATGACTTCAGTGGTGGGGCTGGCTGCATGGGCTTAATCAGATGTAATTCTTCCATGCTGAGTTTCTTTTGGCCGACAGGAAGATACCAGCACTGACACGGCTTTAACATTGGATGCTGGAACTTACCAGAACTTGTAACACAAGCAGTCGTTGTTCCTTGCTACTGGAATGTTTGTCTGTCTTGACTTACTACATGTTGAAACTGGTGCTTGCCTTCAGAGCTAGCTCTCCTTTCCTTTCTGGAGCTAAGGCAGACCGTGTCTTGCTAGGTTTACTTTCCCAACAAGTCTTTCTGTTAACATGCTCTATTTACAAGCTCCTATAAATGGTGGCGGCTGCTACTGGTGACTTTTTATACTTTATATTTTGAGATTTTTGGTGAGGAAAAGTAACTCTGAAAAGTCTTTTTCTCCCTATTAGGAGTCTGAAGGCACTTAGTAGTTGTTTTCCTTCATGCTGCTCTTGTGCAGGTCTGGGGAGGGGATTGTTCCTGATGCCACATTGGTGGTCCCAGCCCACTCCTGTGCATCAGTGGTGCGCCATGGCCCCTGCTTGTACCCCAAGCACAGTGCGTGTGCTCTGTGCTTGTGGTCTTGGGCCCATCATCAGCAATGTTGCTCCACCTGAGGGAAAGGAATCACTAGTGAGAAGAGAAGGAATAAGAGGGCAAATGTACTCATGTAAACAGCAGAGGCTTAGCGAGAAACAATTTTGTCTGTGGTGGCTGTGCCCAAGCGATAAAACTGGTGGCTGTTGCTGGAGTCCAACCTGGTGCCCCACCATGCCTCTACCAGTGGAGAAACCAAGAAGAGTCCTGCATGTTGAGCTAGGCAGCAATGCTGGGTATATACAGCATGTCTGAGCTGTGCCTGCAGACCCTTTATGCAGGGCAGGCTTTTGTGCTTATCCTAGTCTGCTGGCTTTCCGGTGCCAGAAAGAGATGTGCTCTGAAAAGAGGGATAATTCCAAGTTTTCATCTTAGACATTGTCAGAACTTTTACCTGCCTTCATGTCGCAATCAAAAAGAAAATTCACTTACTGAAGGGGTACGATTGCCCCTTTTCTGAGTTTAGGGAGAAAATCCAGATGGGCATAAACTTTTTGTGGCAGTATTAGGAGTGGTTCATAAACCTTTTAAAGCAGGACCTTAAAGTTGAGGAAGCTTCTGCCATTCTCATGCTGTTTCTTTCCTGCAGATTTGAATGGGATAGATCTGACTCCTGTGCAAGACACTCCTGTGGCTGTGAGGAAGGAGGACATGTATGTCCATTTTAATGTGGACATTGAGATTCAGAAACACATTGAAAGACTAACAAAAGGTATGTGGCATCGGAGACCAGAAACAGGGCCCGGGAGCTTTGCAGGCATAGACAGACATCAGGCTGCTCCTGATCTAATAACCAGGATCCAGACAAGGATAAAAATAGACCTTTGCATCCTGTCTGTTGCAAATTGGTCACTGTGGTGACTTGCAGACTGGGAGGAATGAAGACAGATAAATGCAGCAGTCTGCTCTGCTCCAGGTATTGAGCTGCCTTATCACCTTTAGTCATTGGAAATACTGTTACCTGGGTATGAGTCACTGAGTGAAGAGCAAAAGCTCTTGTGAGCGTGGTGAGAGTTGTAAGAACATGGTACAGTTTTTTAGTAAGTGCTGGAGATAATTCCCTCCAATGTATGTAGAGCATTTAATGGCAGATAAGTTTTCAGTTACCTACTGGCTATAATTGCTAACTTCTCTGTTAAACAATTTTCCACTCTAGGTGCAGCTATTTTCTTTGAATTCAAACACTACAAGCCTAAGAAAAGGTTTACTAGCACCAAGTGCTTTGCTTTCATGGAGATGGATGAAATTAAACCTGGGGCAATTGTTATAGAACTGTAAGTGACTTGTGATTATAGATGCCAATGACAGAGGAAATGACCTAGACTTCAGTTACAATGTGTGGCTTTTCCATTCTTGGACTCATTAGATGGACTTCCATAAGGAATATTCTGCTTTTAATAAAGAATGGAAGATAGAATGCTTTTAGGCAAATAAAATGGCTGTGGGCCCTTCTGAACCTAGACTTTTCCCAAATAAAATGCTGGTATTTGTAACTAGATTTTGTATGAAGTTAACAAATCCTGTGTGGGAGACTTTGATTTTGACCTTAGCTTGTGTGTCAGAGAAAATCAACTCACACAGTCTTTTTGTACAGAACTTCTGCACAGGAAAACTGATTTGAGACTTCAGGCACTGCTTTGAGTTGAATGTTACGAACACTTCAAAGCACTGTTGGGGGATTGTGTTTTACAAAGCAATAGATGAGGCAGTTACACTGCTGTGGCTGTGATGTGCATCCTGCCCTTGCTGTGTGGTTGAAGGGCTGAGTGATGGGGTGACGGGGGTGAGTTGTTTGGTTTTGGGAAGAGGGAGAAGCCTGCAGTTCTGGGAGCTCAGGCTGTGCTAGCAGGAGGGCTTCATTTGAGAACAGAAATCTTTGTTTTGTTAAAATAAGAATCTGGAGAAAAGAGAGGTTTGAGTGTCTTCCTGTAAAGCTACTCACTGTTGTAGCTTCCGGTGTATCTTGTCAGATGTATTTAAAAGATGAAGGTAGTAAGATCTGTACAGGAGGAGCTTTTCGTCCTCCCTCACAGCCACTAGCACTCAGATTAGCTCATTTTCTTGTGGTTACAGGTACAAAAAACCCACTGACTTTAAAAGGAAGAAACTGCAACTGTTGACCAAGAAACCACTTTACCTTCACCTCCATCAAACCCTGCACAAGGAATGACCCGCCCTAGTTGTGAGACTTCCGAGAACTGCACCACCAGTCGCCATAGCTGTGTGTAGTAGCCTTTGCGGGGCAGGAGAACGACTATTCATGCCAGTAGGTCAGACGGGACCATCACACACTGCACAGCACTACTTCAGGGTCAGGGGCAAGCCACCATTCCAGTGCATGATTAGTTTCTCAGTATCTTCCAGATACAGGTTTTTCTGAGAGCCCTGAAATCTGTTGACTGCTTTTCCTCATTTTTGCTGTTCATCACTTTTTTTATCTTAACTGTTACTATCCTGTTGCCTCAAACTCCACCCAAGGATGGAGACCGCCCCTTTGCCAAACCTGTAGCAATAAAGATGTGGCAGGCCTACTAACTGTTTACACTTGCTGGGCTATTTAGTTCCTCTCATCTGCATTTTGGAGTCCTCTGTAGCAGGCTGGGTGGGAGAAGACCAAGACAAAGGTGAGGTGGGGTAGGAAAAGGAGCTTGAGGTGCTGCATGTAGTTGAAGATGAGAGAGAGGAGGATGCTAGGCAGAGTTGGGTGGCCATAGAGCAGCTCTGTGGCAACAGTTCTGCTTTGGTCAGGCCAGGAGGAGGACAACTGCAGATGAGAACACGCTACTGCGATCGAACGGCCTTGCCTGATCCACTTGTGCTCAGTTCTGGATACATGTTACAGTCCTTTAATTTACTGTTACTCCCTCATAGAGCTGACTTTTCTGTATCTTGTCATAGAGTTATTTGCAAAGGTGGTGGAGGATGGAGAGAGGCTGTCACCAGTTTAGTGCCAGCAGCAGAGCTTTTGGTACAGCAGGTCTGGCTGGCAGGTAGACCCACCTTTGACATGAAACTGCTGTTCTTGGGGAAACTGATTGTATGCAGTTTTCTGCCTATTTTGTGCAAGTCTGGAAACTTAACTCTAAAAATTACCTTTTTATGGAAGTAGATAGGATTATCATTTATTTTCTATATTTTTTTGGTGTGTAATAAGCTGCAGGACATTGGCTTATTATGACACACATGCATTCAGTTGTTGACCTAATAAAGGGACAGAAGTAGAACCCAGTCAAATCTTTCCTATATTTGCGTGGATATTTAATACAATAAGGTTTGAGATACTCCTTGCATATCTAACTAGTGCCTAAATACTCTGCTATGCTAACTAAAGACCCAGCCCCCAAAATAGTGTCAATTATTGGGTTTATTTTCAAGTCTGGAGGCAGCTGCATCACCCTTTCCTCTTTTCTGTCCTGTAATCTTGAGATGTTAAACAATGTGTTAATGGAAGGGATGTTACTTTTCCTCATGGTATTTGTCTGGCTGCAGGCGAGTGTTCAGCACTTTTGCCTTTACCCTATTGATTAGGATAAAAAGCTATTTTTGAATGTCCTAATCTTCTTGCCTTCCCCCTGTTCTGGTATAAGTAGGGATGACATTAGGTGTGATGACACAAGTCAGCAACACTTCCTTATATTCCACTACTGGTTGGAGGGGGGAAAAAGTGCAATTGAATTTTCCTGTTTACGGGTCTTTTACAATACCCCAATGGATACATTGAATATCAAACCCTGAAATTACATCCCTATGAGTTATGGAAGTACCTCTGAATGCAGCATTCTGAATACTGGACAAAAGGAGGATACCTACAGTCTTAAAAAGTCAAATTGTCCTTTGAACCCTGCAAAAGGATGGAAAGGAGGCACTGGTCTGTGGTGGCAAATAAATCCCAGCTTGGGCAGCAGCTGTGTTACCTGAAGTGCTTCCTGTTTTTGGGTTTCTCCAGCCTGTGAAGAAGCTGCAGTATGGAGTGTCGCTGCAGTATGGAGTGTCCCTGCAGCACATTCAGCCCATCTCCTTGGCCAGGGATGATGCTGAGGCTCCACATGGCTCCGCTGTCTCCAGTGTCTGCTGGTGCTACTCATGGCCGGCTGGTCCTGTGTCCCCATGACCCGCAGCACCCGAGATAGGCAAGGGAGGGGACACTGAACATCCCCCAGCTCGGTGCTGGGATGATGCTCCTGGATGTGCTCCTGGATGCCAAGAAGCTGCCTCTGCAAGATGGATGTTGATCAACGTGCATGTTAACAGCCACCACGCCAACGGAACACTTATGCTTGAATTGCAAACCCCTTGTTCCAGCTGCTCCCCTCTTTCCCAGCTTGTAGATGTCTGTATTAACTCCAGTTATATCAAATGGCAACTCTGAAGTATTTTTGTTAAATACACAAGTAGAGCTTTGTATTTAACTAATTGTGAACCGATGGCTGTAGAGTGTGAAATACCAGTTTTAAAGTTGCTTCTATCCTTTGCGCTTTTTCCGTGACCTCTCTTTTACTGACAGGACAACTTCCTGCTCCCACCACCACCTTCCTGCATTGCTTTATGTTGCAGTGACCTTCTACCTTGTCTTTCACCTTAAATCTAAAGCTTAGTGCTTGTACTGTAAGAACGCAACACCAAGATGGCAAGGTTAAAGGCTGCTTGTGCTCTGGCAGTAAAGGTATGACAGCCTTTCAGTGGGGTTTTTATTATTCCAAGCTGTTTTCCTTTTTTCCTTCCCTAAAGCTTACTTTAGTACAGAGCACTTCTGAAAAACCTCAGTGTCTAGATAAGCCTTGTACTAACACCAACATTCAGGGCCGCCCTGAGCATCTACAAACACAGGATGTGCCTTTAAAGCTATTCTGTGTATGCAAACCCATTTAAAGCACTGCAGGTGAGCACAGTTCACATACAACCACTCCACTTAACAAAGGAAAGAAAAACAGTAGTTTTCCATGATGCAAGTGAAAAAGGCTGTAAAAGTACAGTAGCAGTAAGTCCAGTACAGTAAATAGCAGTGGCCTTACTGCTAAGGAAGCTGAATTGCACTTAACTACCAAGTAAGAGGAAAACTTCTCTCTCAAACCATGCTTAATGCTGCAAGCCAGTCATGAAAGCCAAAAGCCACCATAAAATTTCTTAGTTTCTGAAATCCTGGAGCACTCAGCTGCATTTCCAAACTAACTACACAAAATGGTCAAGATGTCCAGCTCTGCACTGCCCTTCAGCTGAGGAGGGCAAGGTCCCCCCGTTGTCCTCATTCACTTAAAGCGCGAGTAGTTCAGGGTAACACAGTCATTCACCTCATCGCAGCAGCAGTTGTTCAGTCTTGATCCAAGTCTCTGGTTCCATTACTGAACTAGTATCCTTTCTGGACAAAAAATGGCACTGAACCAAAGCCTTCAGGATTTAGCAAAAGGAATTTTGCTTTTTATTACGACTTTCCTTTGCATACAGTGTCATTTGTGCTTCCGATCTCAGACCAGGCATCTTTTTTTTCCTCTGAAAAAAACCCCAACAAGACCTCACAATCCTGATGTAAACCCCTGGCCTACAACAACTGCAGCTCAATGATGTGGTGGAGAAGGCAGGTAGGAGAGCATTTTACTTAAAAAATTATTTCCACAGGAAATGATTCAATTTACATTTTGTCACGGAATTAGTTCATTCACCAACTGGTTACAGAGGCTACATTTAATTAAAACTAGCCACACAGGTACTTCCTTTCTATTGCACGTTTAGAGGAGGTTCAAGTCCATCACAAAAAGGTTCTTGCAGCCCAAGAGGATGGATGAGTTTAAGGTGATCATAAATGCACATGTCTGTAGCAACTGGATAAAAATTAATCCTGCCAAAGCCAAAATATACTGAAATGAGACAAATGGCCTCAATCAGAGAGCCATTTCCTAAAATCCTGACTGTAGGAAGTGCGCTCGAGTCCCATTGTGCTGAGCTGCTGCCCGGGCGCTGCGTCAGGGGTTCTGCGCTGGAGGCTGTGCATAGTCCTTTGGGGCTGCGGGTGCTGGAGGGGCTGCGGGGCAGTCCCTGGCTCCCAAGGGAGGCAAGTCTCTGCTGGGAGAAGGTGCATAGTCTCTGGAGCCAGGTGGGGGGAGCCGTGGGCCTGGAGGATAATCTCTGGGGCCAGGAGGACCTAGGGGTCGAAAAGGAGGGTGCCCACGTCCATAGCCCCTGGGGTCTGGAGGTGGTGGGAGTGGGCCAGGAGGCAGATCTCTCACTCCGAAGGGTGGGCCGGGTAAGAAATCTCTCGCAGCTGGAGGTGGCAAGGGAGCACCACGAACTGGAAGGGAAGGAAAACACGGAGTTAAATGAAATCTTGCTTTAAGCTAAGTGCTGAAGCTCCAGACTTGCTCCTCATTCCTTCATTTACCAGAGCAGCTCTGGGGTGGGACACTGTCACATGCAGACTTCACAGGCCATGAATTACATTCCAGGGACTTTTGGCTGCTGGTTTCCGTTTTAGACTCAACAAGGAATACCTTGGCACTAAGAAGCCTGGAAAAGCCCACTTGTCCCAGCTTCCTGGGCAAGGCAGCAGACCCCACAAAGCACGGGGATGGCAGGCCTCAGCTTTGCGGGAGGCTTCTGAGAAGCACAGTGGGTTTGAGTGTCAGCACACAGCAATGTGACCGTACCTAAGGGCACAGGGAGAGGACGAGGCCCAAAATGCCCACGGAGAGGAGCCGGTGGCGGTCCGTAGCGAACAGGCGGTGGAGGTGGAGGTCCCATCACTGGGGAGGTCATGATAGGTGTTGCAGGGAAAGGTGGGCCTTTGGGACTGGCATTAGCCTGTGCGAGATGAGGTGATACTGAGTGTGTTACTGCATCAGAGAAGCATGGACACTGCTGAACACCACAACCACTCCCCCAAAGGCCAAGAGGTGGAAGAGAGGGAAAGAAGAAAAACAAACACACATCCCCAAACACATTAAACAGGGAAAGTTATTGCACCACCATTGTCCCTTCACCCAGAGCACTGCCTGCACTATGTAGGAGTGAGTGCCTAGTGTACCCTCTGAGATGACAGGTTTTCTGTAGCTAAAGCTGTCCTGAAGAAAAGTTTGATCCCTTCTGAAGTGTCCTCAGTGGACACCCCTTTGGAAAAGGGCCTGGCACCTGGAATTACATATGGAATTGTGCTTAAATACCACAGTTAAGTCAGCTTCTTAGGATTATTGTTGTAGTCACTCCACAGTGTTTTGCCTGCAGTCCTTAACAAGAAAGATCTCATTTCCTCAACTCCTTAAAAACCAGACAAAAACTGTTCATCATTAGAGAAACCTTTTGAGACAGATGTAAAAGCCCTGGGTTAGTTTTGCAGAGCATTCTGTTATTTAGCAGTTCAGAACACCAAGCCTGTTATTCCTCTCCATCAAAGCAGAGTCATGCCATGTGCAGCCTCTGAATACTCACTGTAACTGGTTCAAGAGATGAAGGTGAATCAGCAGCTGCCCAGGGGGCTTCAGACTCTTTGGGAGAGGGTTGCTTTTTGGGTTTTTTGGACAGCAAATAAGGATAGTGACAGGATATAGACAAGACAGAACATGATACAGTTAAAGAAGCAGCAGGAAGTACAGCAAATCATGTCTTAGAAACACTTCCTGAAGGTCAGGGGTTTTTTTCAGCTTACCACTACATCCATTGCTGAGGAAGGGGAGGAGGTTCTTGGCCCACTACTGATGAGGGATGCTACAGCAGGCCCAAGGTCTGCAAAGAGACACAGAAATGCATGTCCTGCCACACTTGGGCTAAGGAACATGGCTTTCAATTTACATTTCTAAAGTGAAAGACTAGTGAATAAGTTGCAGTTGTTTGCAAGTCCCATGTAACTTACCCGGAACAGACATCCTTCCAGCTAACTCTGGTGGTCTTCGTGGAGCAGGGGGGCCATCCACCACTGCACCTTAAGGGAAACAAGAACCTAATCAAAATATACCTGAGGTATTTCTACTTTTCCTGGGTCTGCAGCACAGAAGACAGCTACCACAGCACGGAAGCCTCACTGCTTACCAAATTCACCTCTGGAGCCTTCCCTGCGAGGAGCAGAAAGGGGCCGGGCAGGAACTTCAATCATCTGTGTGGGTGACGGATTTCCTCCACTCACAGGTGACGGGCCAAAAGAGCCATCTCTGCTTAAAGGCCCTACACCAAAGAATTAAACCCACTTGATTTACTTTTCTACAATACATCATAGCCCTATTTTTTTAGGCTATTCTGGCTCAAAGACCAAAGTTTTGGGAGAAAAAGCAGCATTTACCTCGTCGTGGTGGGACCTGGCGGTCGGGTCTGCCTGGAGTTGGCTTTACAATTAATGGTCTTTGAAGCATGACAATTTTTTGGTTTACCTCTATTAATCTGATTAAAAAAAACAAAGTGTTTATTATTCAAACAATACACGAGTTACATTTGTTACAAGCCAAACTGCACTGTCAAATGGTACAACTTTCAACAAGAAATCTTACTTTAACCTTTAAAAGTAGTAACTCGAAGATGCATTACACACTCTGAGCAAGCAGGCTGCCTGAGCACCTTACACTGTTTGAGCTCCTTCTCTCCCAGGCAACAGGCAGCATGTTCAAAGAGCAATAACAATGGTCTGTACTGTACTTACTTTTGCCTCAGGTTGGCAGCTTCCCTCTTTTCTTCAGCCAGAGCTCTCTCAGCAGAGCGGGCAATAAGCTGTTAGGGAAAATTTTGCCAACTGCATTAACTGCATCAACCTGGAGCCAAATACAAACTGTTTGTGCTGGAAAAGGAAGAATGTTCTTACCCAATTGTCATGTGCCTTTTTCTCATGAGCAGCAATCTGAGAAGATAAGAAGTGGTTTGGTTTATTTTGTCCAACTGCTAGTATTTCCACTAACTCACTACAGAGCATTGGAATGATGCAGTAAAAGGTGACACCATAACCAGTAAGCAAGAAGTTTACCTGGTTTTTGTAAGATCTCTCTGTTTTTTGCAATTCTTCTTCCATATCTTGGATCCTTTGCCTGTACAAAGGGAAAAAGAGGGGAAGGGGAAAGCTTTAAATGAGTTTTCATCCACAGCTGAAATAAAGGAAAGCAAAGAGTCTTTAGAAACTGAAGTTACTTGTAAACTTTCACTTCCTCAATGGCCAGCACGGCTTTTTCATCCGCAGCAGACAACTTCTGCTCCTTCTCCTGACGCTCATACTCTTCCTGAGTTAGTTTTCTGCATGGAAAAGCAAAACAAAGCACCAGCTATTCCACCATCCTACATCTACTACATCTCAAAATCAAAGTATTCCCCTGCTAACAACAGTGATAAAGCAGAATCTGTAAAAATGGGTGAGACTACAGAGAGAGAATAAGGAAGGTTTGGGGTTTTTTAAGAGACAGAAATACTGTTTTCTGAAACCACCAGCCAAACCCTTTGTGTATAAAACCTGAAAATTAAGGATGCAGAGTTGACTGGAAAGTTCTGTCAGCAACTAAGTTTTGTCAGAATCCAACAGCTGCAGACAGTTCATCTCTTTTCAATCCCAATTCTACAGATGGTAACACAGATTTACCACGGTGCAAACAAGGAAATACACAGAACTAACATCTAACCAAGAGAAATTAAGAAATGAACGTGCAGTGGAAAAGGAGAAAACCAGGACCCAGGTGATAAAAACATTCAACCATGTGGAAAGAAGCTTCTTTCTAAGTTTTCTCTGTGCCAATTTATTCCATGACACATTTCCACAGTCTTTTTATAAGCTCATGGTTCACTAACTTTTTCATTTTTCATATGTTTCTGGAAGTATTTAAAAGGTTCTTAATACAATCCTAACATACAAGAGCTATCCCACATAACTGGAACCATTAAACTAGTAGGAAGTTAACTATTGCTAATAACCATTCCTTGTCTACATGGGCATACATAGAATCATTCTAGTCAAAAAGCAGTAACAGGCAGTGTAACTTCCTAAAAGTTTTGGAAGTTATAAAACCTCTTCAGAGAGGTCAAAAGGAAGTTTTCTGAAAGGTGGGCTACCCTTTACCTCTCCACTATGTGTTTACTACACCTGGATCCTGAAGTTATGAGGTCAGAAGTTTCACTACTGAGGTTCTTTAGCTTGTTCCAACCCTGTGCTTCCCCCAACCTACACATCTGAACCCTAGAACTTTCAGTTGCTTCTCCACCACTGTTTCAGCCTTCCTACAGAATTCAGCTGAAAACGTCCCTGAATCCTATCTCAAATTTTCCCCCAAAGTTCAGATGGTATTAACAGGCATTTCAGTAAGTAAATAAATGAACAAGGAATGAACACAGATACACAACTAGTTCTTCAGTGCTAGCAACTCACTCATCTCAGCTGCACCACAAACTCAGCCTTCATTTATCCCTTTAAGAATGCACAAAGCTCCCACAGCTAAAATACTAAGTCTCCTAAAGGATGAGAATTCAATTCACTGAATTGAGGTCAAAGTAACTGAAACAAATCTCAATGGCCACTCCTCTTCTTGACATTTCTGGACAAACCACAGAATTTGCAAACCAAGCCACATGTCTCCCCTCTCCAAAAGTTGCTTGTTTTTAACAGTAGAAGGCAATATTGTGTGGAACAGTGGAAAACATAAAGAAAGGGTACTAGCTTCAACCATACTGAAACAGTAACCATCACCTTGCATTCCAAATACGAATTTGAGTAATTTGATCATTCTGAGCAAAGAGCATTTGGATAGTGCCTACGATATAACACGCTCTGTTGTAGAACAGTACTCAAAGGCTTACTTCTGGAGTGCCATCTCCTTCTGCTGGTAAAGCTCCCCAAGAATCTCCACTTTTTGCTGTAGTGTTTTGCATTCATTTTCTAGCCGAGCTTTGGCCGACTGGAACGAACAGGAGTCATGTTCTAACTTTTTTATTTGCTCTGTTGGAGAAGCAAAGCCAAGTGAGGAAGTTGAAGGAAGTTGCAATGAGAACCATTATGCCCCGTAAATGCTCTGTTTCCTTTTAAACCACAAACAGCATTTCATCTTAAACAATTCTTTTGCTAAGTCTACCTTCCAGCTCATGTCTTGCTGTTACTTCATCACTCAGTTTGGTTTGCAGAAGATTTCTGTCCTCTTCAACTATGGATAACATAGTTTTTACCTGAAAAGAGGAGCAGAAATTTATCATCTTAGGCATTGCAGTAACGTAGCTGTGTTTATTAGATAATACTCTGCTCTAGTGACACCCCAATTGGAGTACTTTTTGCAGTTCTGGTGTCCTCAACATAAGAAGGACAAAGGGCTGTTGAAGCAAGTCCAGAGGAGGCCACGAGGATGATCAGGGGCTGGAGCACCTCCTGTATGGAGACAGGCTGAGAACATTGGGGTTGTTCAGCCTGGAGAAAAGAAGCTGAGTGGAGACCTCAAAACAGCCTTCCAGTGTCTGAAGGGGGCTACAAGGATGCTGGAGAGGGACTCTTCATCAGGGACTGGAGCAACAGGACAAGGGGTGATGGATTCAAACTGAAACAGGGGAAGTTCAGAAGTAGTTACATCTTCTTCTTCCTTATACTAGATGTAAGGAAGAAGTTCTTCACTGTGAGGGTGCTGAGGAGCTGGAATGGGTTGCCCAAAGAAGCGGTGAATGCTCCATCCCTGGCAGTGTTCAAGGCCAGGCTGGACAAAGCCTTGGGCGACATGATCTAGTGCGAGGCATCCCTGCCCATGGCAGGGGGTTGAAATGAGATGATCTTGAGGTCCTTTCCAACCCAGACCATTCTATGACTCTACGAGATATCTTGTGCAGCATACCCTGGAGACATCCATCATCTGCTTAATCTGAGTCTTCATCTTCTCACTCTCATTATCTAGAAGAGAAAACAGGTGTTTCTTAACCCCAATTCCCTGGAGTCTACAGCTGTTAAAAATAACACTCCCTACATTTTAGTCTGGGTTAGGCCCCCTTACATGGTAAAACAACCAAACCATACCAAAAACCAGGGGGAACAAAGCACAATAGCAATTCCACAACCAGCACAACGGAACTATTAGATTTACTCCAAAAGGCATTCAGAAGATTCTTTATTGTCATTACTTCTAGCCACTACACTAATATTAATTTGGATGCAGTATCTCCTACTGGACATCGTATCTAAAAATCAAAATGTGGGAATTTGCAGACCACATATACCATATGGTTATTAAAATAAAAAGGGGGGTGTGGAACAAAAGGACTTCAAAACCACAGATGTAGCAACATGTGCAACATCAGGAACAACAAACTGCCAGCACTGGGGCGACAGTAGTTTTGAAAACATCTATTTTGGTCTTTCAGATTTCAAAGATGTGATTATTTTAGTTATCTATCTGGAGATAAGCACAACACTCAACAATTCACATTAAAAATAAATATAGGGTAACACCAACACTGAGATTCTTAGCTTTCAGAATGCTCTTAGTTACTAACCTTTATGTGCCATCTTTAAAACTGTGTCATGACACTTACAATATACCTGAAATGTAATCTAAAAGCAGCTATTGGCCTTTTTAACAGTTTCTCCCTTCAGTTAGGAGGTATTCTGTGTTTGAGAATTGAAGCTGGCAGTCTCTTAACCCACAGGCAGGTACACAGGTGGATTCCCCTTGTTTCCTGCATGACATGACATGGACATACCACTGCATACACTTTAGCCACTGGGCATCTCAGCCAGGAGGTAGTCACTGTACCTGGCAGCTCTCCATTGGCCAGGTCCTCTCCTGTGCTCCATTCATGCCCTTCGCCGTCCTTCTTGCCTTCAGATGCTGAATCCGTGTCAAGCTGCTTCAGCTGCATAATGCAGTTAGTTAAAACCTAGTAATGAAAACAAAGGTTTACTGAGAAATCACTCTGTGTTTTGTAAAGCATTTCAAAGTATTTTATGATGTGTAATATTTAAAGCTAGCGTGTTATAAAGAACTTACTTCAATTTCATTTTCCTTGTAGACAAGTGCTTCTTCTATGTCCTTCTGAGATTTCTGATACAGTTTGATCTGCTCACTGAGCTCAGTATGCCTCTCACTCCAACCTTCAGCTTCTTTTAGCAGCTGTAGGAAGCACCAAGGCAAGATGATTACTTGTTTTATTTTTAGCACAAGGTGTATGTAACTAAAGTCTATTTCACTGCCAGCTCTGCTGACAACTGACCACCACAGGTGACAGAAGAAGGGTAAACTTCACAGTTCGCACACTCATCACTAGCCCATTGGTAGAACTGGATGCTAAAAATCTTTCTGCAGTTTATATTATAGGTGATATTACAAATTTGACATTTTTTCAGCTAATATCCCAACATCAGAACCAAAGTGCTCACACACTTCAAAATACAAAGACTCAGCTGCAGTCCAGAGGCAATCAAACTACATTCTTTAAAAGGCCATTTAGTTCTCATACAGAGAAAGAAAGTAGATATTTACAATTATATGTAAAAGAACTGTGATGACATTTCAGGGCTAAAGGCCTCCCCTGTTTACCTTAGCTTCAGAATTGCTTTTTGGCAATCCTTTACCAAACTTCTTTCAGTCCTGATCCCAAGTAGCCATCTCTCCTGACCACAGAATTTCTGTGAAGTTGCTGACAAAACCTGAATTCACTGGAACTGGCAATGCCTTCATGCTAAAGATGTGTGACTCGCCTGTACAAAAAGCTGTGCAGGCAGGCACAAGGGGTTTAAGCTTTATCTTGATAATATGAAATGTAGAATTAAGAAAAGAGGGACATGCTGAGGCTATACTCAAGAAAAGTAGGAATGAAGCCTCAATACTTCATTCAAAACATGAACAAAGTTTCCTGGCCTGGGCATAACTTACTTGCTCCTTGCTTTTTTTCAGCCTGGCATTCTCTTCCTGCACATGATGAAGCTCAGATTTCACCTTTTCTTCACTTAGTTTAGCTTCATTAAGGGCTATCTGCACCTACATATGAAACAAAAAGGAACAAAAAGACGCCAAACTGCAATTGAGCAAGAGCTATTCAGTTACCTGATGAAATGGGAAAAAGGAATATACACACAAACAAACTGGAATCTGCCAAGCTAGTGTTCTCTGTTACATCCTCGATATGAATTTTCCTGGTACAAGAACTTGTGACTGTTGACAAGGTGTAGATAATGCCTTACCTCTGAAAGCTCCACAGAATGTACACTGATAGCCTCTTGTAGTTTCTCCAGGGACTTCTGAGTTTCGGAGATCTATATAAGAAAATGACTTTGTATTAGTCTGATACATGCCTTAGCCTGAGTCATTTGAAGAATAAATGGAAAGTCAAAACACCACCAAATTCCCATTTAAAGCAGCTGCTAGACTAGCAGCAACATATCGCTGCCTTATCAGCAAGGTAAGGAAGGGAAACATACAGCATGTTAGAACCAACATTCCCCTGTGCCTCTGCCTGTTTGTGGCTAGTAAAGCTCCCTGTACACCTGTGCAGTCTAGAATGAAAGTAACACGTGCTCCTGTCATCTGCAACAACCTTTGATCAAAACAAGACCAAAGGACCTACTGAAGCTTATCATTAATGGCAGAAAAGCACGCTTTAAAAAAAAAAAAAAAAAAAAGAAAACATAAATGCCTCTGCACACCAAGAATGAGGGACAGCTTAGAGAGCTTCATGCTTAGAACTAGATACTTCCTCTAAGTACAGGAAAACATCTAAACATCTCTTACCGACCTGAAACCTTCAGCTCCTATTGTTAAGGAGCTTCCTGGCTCCAGCTACGAAGTACTAGACTAGCCCATGACTTTAATGTATCTGTTTGCGTGTGAAAGCATGTAACCATGCAAGTCCATCAGATCTTACAAAAAACAAAAGCCAACCACTCCCCCACCCCCCAAAAAAACCCCAACACAAAACCCAGAAATTAACAAAACCCAAACAATGCAGCAACAACAAAATCAACTAATCCTCCCCCTTGAGCTTGGGATGAACCTGAAATTTCATTTCAGCTCTCTTTTTGAGGTGGTTCATCTTGTTTGCTCTACCTCTCCCTATTTAGTCATGAGGTTGTAACCAGCTTTTAGGGCACATCAAGTTAAGTACATCAGTGTGATTGTTCTTACTTTGTTCTGTTTCTTTTCATTCTTTTTTCTCTCCGTTTCAAGCAATGTGTGCAGATTTTTTACTTTGTCATCTAACTGACGATTTGCTTCTTCCAGTTCTTTAACAGTATCCTAAAAAAAGGGAAAATAAAAGGAGCAACTAAAGGAAGTTATTTTACTGATGATTTTACTGATATGTTTTCACTGATGTTTCTGCTTTTGGCACACAGACAGTTAACTGTTCCTTACCTTAATCCCTGCAGTTTCATCTGAGAGAACATCTTTTTGTTCTTGGGCTACTTTCACAGATTCCTTTGCTTCCTTTATCTAAGCAGAGAAAGAACCAAACAGAACTGAGGAGATCATCAACATAATATTCAGTAAGAACAGAAAAGAAATAGGTACTAACTGCTGCATGGACTGTGTCATTAAAAAACAGTAACAGAAAATTGGGAAGCAAGGGATGATAACCTAGAACAATACCTTTTGATCATATTCTGATATCTTTTGTAAGATTTCTGTTTTTTCTTGCAGAAGGTTTTTAATCTTTTCAGCAAGTTGCTTTTCAGTCACTAGGAAGAAAAAGAAAGCTTACAGTAACTGTACTTTATATCCTGGGTGGGGGGAAATAAAAGCAAAGCAGAGCTATCATTACTACCACTTTAGGGAACATTTTCTAGTAACAACTAAAACATAAACAATGATAGTGTCGATTCCATAGCTGTCAGCCCCTTCTGCAGGAGCCTGAGCATCTCCAGCTTTCAATTCAAGTTAGGATTGAAAAGAAGACAGTAAAGCACTCAAGAGTGACACAAATCATACAGCTCTTGCATCCACTTCACAGAAGCTTGTCACAGAACACACAGAGGAGCAGAACAGGGTGCTGGCTATACACAGATGGGGTATGTCCAAGGGAAGAATCGGCAGCAAGGATGTCAGAGCAATCTCAGACTGTTGCTGTGACACTCAGGGAGACGAAACACCTTCCTTAAGAACCCCCCTTTTTGCTCTATTGAAACCACACATTTGGTCAGCAAAGATAATAGGATGAAAGCTCTGAAAGACCTACTGGGAACAGAAAAGAGACTCAGCTAGCAGATGGCATCATTAAGCCTCAAGGAACTGCACCGCTTTCTAACAGACTTCAAAAGGGCTGTGACTGAGCAACAGTTCTCTAGGCATACTTTTGTTTCTCAGCCTAAACAAGTTGTCAACCAACCCTTAGGATTCAACAAAAATCATTAACATACTTAAACTACTTTATTGTAAACTAATTTAAAGAACATCCAATTGTGCTTTTTCAAGCCCTAAACCACCCCCGTATTTGAACACCCTAACTCCTGCTTGCCTTGCAGCAGATCCTGCAGCACAAATGGGAAGCACTGGTAGTTCCAACCGCATCCCACAGGGTGCAATGGCAACTGCTGCTCCTCCTCCCCTCCCACATGAGGGCTCCTGGGCCAGAAGATCCCCAGCCCTTCCTGCTCTGTGGAGGAGAGCCAACAAGCATCTGCTGAGGTACAAGGTAACCCTCAGTGGTTTAAGTGGAGCAGGAATCCCTGCATTAACTTGGTCTCACAATTTTACTACTGTAATGAAGAGTGGATAGTAGATTTTATCTTTGGGACCCCAAACGCAATCTACCTTTTAAAGCATTTTTGTCACTGTTAATATTCCTCCATTTCAGATAAAGATTTCAAAAATAACATAACCTTTATCATGCTTTAAGAATATCCATTTGCCCTCAGCTTTAGTAGTTTCTACAAAGTATCATACAGAAGAATATTTGGGGGGGGGGAGGAGGGGAAAGAGGATGAGACCTATGTCTGTCACTTTTTGGGGGCGTGCTGCTAAGTGATTTCTACACCACCAACACGAACTCTTTATGCTCTCCAACGACAATAATTCTTTTGCAGCATAGAAATCACCCTGAATATCCAAGATGGACTTTCTCCAGCTCACCAATTCTGCATTAATTGTATAGAAGGAAACTGCTGTATAACTACACATAAAGTAGAGAGGAATGACTGATAAGTAGTATGGTTTGTGAGGAAGAAAGAGACAAAGAGTTCACGTGAAGACAATTCTTTTACATTTTCATTTTGTACTCTGCTATGATTTTCAGCAATCACCCTTCTTTAAAGTGTACTGAATGGAAAAGAAGTAGAATTCAGTTTTATCTCCTTGAAGCTGGAGAAATGCTCTTATAAGAAGGGATGTGCGAGCTGCAGGAATATCTGCATATTTAGGTCTACATTTAGAAGGTCTCTTTGCAACTGCACAGCGGTCAGTTTCAGGCTCCCCTCAATCCAAAAACAGGAACTAGCTAATGCTTTTTGTGAGAAGAAACAAGCAAAGTCAGATCCACTTCTAGTCAGAAGACCAAACCAAACTCTGCTCTACTACTATTGTACCAATGTGGATCACTTTTACATTGAACAAGGTGGAGCTTTTCCTTGCCCTTTAATTTGCAGGTGCAAGCTGCATTGTTTCTCCTAATAAAGGCATAATCAAAAGCAAACCTTAAATCCTCAGATTCAGTATCTACTGGCCTAGCTTACACATTAACCTCAGAGTGAGCATTCCCCTTGAAAGGGAGTGAAAATGAATACTTTGTGGTCAAAAACAAACTTCAAAACTTTTGCATGCATAAGCATCAAGTACTGAAAAGCAGAGAAACTTACCCTGATATATTCTACTTTTTACCTGCAGAAGAAGAAAAACAAAATTAGCAATAAAAACTGGCAAGTTAAAAAAGTCACCACTTATACACAGGTTAAAGCAGCATATGGAAAACACATCCCCCACTGCCAACAAGAGTGTTGAATAACAGTGCAAACAAGCTTAAGCTGTTTTCTAATAAAAGCTTCTAGGTTAATGCCCTGTCCCAGGGCCCTGGTAAACGTGTGTAACTGTCACTACAAGGGTAGCAGTAACTGCCCACACCCAATTTGCAACAAAGAACATGAAGCCGTTCCACATAAACCAGTCACGAACTTGCAAACACAAAACACACCTGCACCCTGATTCGTGACAGTTGCTTATTTTGAAATCAACAACCTTAAAGAAGAGTTTCAGAAGCTTTCTTTGTATGTTGCTTTATTAATGTTATTTTGCATTTGAAACTGATCTGGCATATTCAATATCAAAGATAACTACCAACATTGTTACCGATAGTATTTAGTTTTAATTTGTTTGATAAAGTATTCCACAGACTTCTAGAGTATATCACCACTGAATTGGTCAGCTGTAAAATTAACTGCCCTATTTGATTTTCATCTATCAGTACCCCAAGGAGATTCACGGCTATGCTTGAGAGCTGGTGATAGTGTTTTTCTCACACAGAAAATGGTCTTCGTAGGAAAGGGAAGGGCAAATGTAAAGTGAGGAAAAGAGTGGGAAAGGAGCTCTCCAGTGAGAATTAAGATCAGGGTTTAGGTTTCTAAATGCAGTGCCGGCAAGCTGGACAACACAAAGGGGAGAGGATTAACTGCTTGTTTTGGAGATGGGAGATAGTCAGCAACAGGCTCAAGCACATGGAAGGCTTCTCATTTCAAAGATTCGATGACCCTTTAACTCAGCCTCCTTCATTTACATCATACTCCCCACTTTGCTTTTGAAACTGCCTCTTACTAAGTAATCCTCAATTAACAGCTTAGAGGAATCGCTTCTTAACTTGAAGGAAGCTGCAACTTACTTTAGCTATCAAGCCCAGCATTTAGTTCACATTAATGCTCTAAAAAGTAGAAGTTAAAACATGAAAGACTACATATTACTTCAACCCCGGTAATGCTGGAACAGTTGAACCATACAAAAGACCACTCAGCAAGTGTAGTATCAGCAGGCTTGCGAGCATGAAGTATACTCACTGAAAGGCATGTTCTCCAGAAAATTATAGCAAGCGTGGCAACCCCCACTAAGGCAGTGATAATAACAGGCTCCCATGGAAGTCCATGGAAATCAGGCCCAGGACGAATTTCCTCAGGCAGGGTAGCAACCAGCTGAAAACCAACAGCATTGAGAACTATGAGTATGTTTTTGATAAATACTCAGGCAAAATAAGCAGTCTGCCAAAGGCTTTTATTCCCTTCATAAAACCGGAGAACCACCTAGATCTTTCTGGCACTTTTTAATGTAAGCTGGGAACTGATATTGAAGAAAACCACAAAGCAGCTTGATGCCTGCACTTCAACTCTAAAGTCTGAGTATGTGCAAGACACCTGACAGTAACAACCTGCTGGCAAGGAACAGCTACACCAGAATAAGCCGATACACACATTTTGTGTCACACTGCACTAGTAGTTATTTGATCCGTTTCCAAATAAAGCTGTAAGGATGGAAATAGATAGGAAAACCAAACAGCTTCACATCAGGATGTTTTAACAACGGCTCAGATCTCTTCCCAGCTGCCACCCTGCTCACAGGGTCAAATGTTATGTGCCTCGTCATACGTCTCTGAGGGCCAGAGAGCACCGAACGCCCGCAAAGGTGTGAGCACCTTGGTTTACAGGGCTGATACAGACACAGCGCTCGCAAAACAAACTACGAGCTCTGCAGAAAGCCACCACGGACAGAACGTCACATTAAAAGGAGGGCACACACCTTTCCCCCTGC